AAGTACTTTGATGGACTCCCTGTTCTACCTCTAGTTTTCTTTTTTGGGATTTCCCATTTTTCTTTCTCACTGCCTCATATTTTGAGGGTGGGAGATGGCAGGCTGGAAGGCAGTTAGAAATCTCAAGAGCCTACCACAGTAGGAAAATATGCAATACTCATTAAGGCAGTGTATTTGAATCTGCTAGAGAAAATACACTAGAAAAAAGAGTGTCTATGAAATAGATCTCAGATTATTAAAAAAATTCATATACAACAAACCATTGCTATATGTAAATAACTGTATTAGGTAGCATTGAGATATATTAAAATGAGACAAATTTTATATTAGTGTATTTAATAATAATTATTAAACAACTAATTTAGATGCTGTCGCAATCACGGCTTCAGGAGATCTAGGGTCACATAACGCCTGTGGAAATGCTGTTCAAGGAGACTTTGCAATAACGGGAGGCCCATGAGCACTCTCTAGAGAGAAATGCTCATTGTATGTGCACTATATGATGATGGTAAAGTCTTCGATTTTTATTACCTTATCCACACAGCTATTTAATTCTTCACTTAGAGCTTCTTTCTCTTTTAGCAATTTTTCGTTGTAGCTTAGAACACTAGAAATTTTGTGCTGGAAGTCAGAGAGATCAGGACATCTGTGCAGCTGTAAGAGATAAACAAATGAGCCCTCCCATCACATCTTATGGCTGTACGTATAGAGCGGTATTAATAAACGGGGCATTTTCATGATGGCTGATATTTGTTTATCTGTAGATATTACAGAGGACATACAAACTCTACCAGACTATAATAAACTTTAAAAAAATGTTCTCTGCTGGTTTCTCTCTGCTCCCCAACTGACTGCTAAAATATCTGCTCAGACTCAACCAGTCATTGTTAAATAACGATCCTAGCTCCCCATTTTACCTTCAGGGTAAAATGACATACTGCCATTCTGTCACCAATTTAACTTGTACGCATGTAGCTTCTGACATTTTCTCATGCTTTTTTAACTAGAAAATTATTTTAGTCTCAGTTAAGACTTTCAAGTTGGCATGAGCCACACACAAGGTAACAACACAAGGGCAAGTTTAAAGATAAAAACTATTAGTTTTTCAGCTTGTTCCATGTGCTCTTCCCTTCGGAAGAGGCCGAAGTTGACTTCCAGTAAGATGTTGCTGGTGTGGACACACACAGGCTGTTCCCTCTCTACTTTTATGAAATCAAGACAAACCAAAGACTGTTTTTGTTCTGTATTGGTCCTATTGACATTTTGGGCCACATACTTTGTTGTAGGGGGCCTTCCTATACACTGTAGGATGTTTCGGAGTGTCTCTGGCTTTACCCACAAGATGTCAATAACGCCATTCCCCCAGTTGTGAAAATCAAAAATGTGCCCAGACACTGCTAAATGTCCCAGGGTAGGGGAGCAATCCTCACCCCCAACCCTGTCGAGAACCACTGCTTTAAATAGACTGTTTCTTATACTTCTTAGATTCTTTCTCGTAGTTTATAAGTTCTTAACTTTCTTCCATTTCACTTGGCTTTCAAATTTTCAATTCTTTACTATCATTATGATTTTATGGCCATCTTTCTACTTCCCACCTGAAGTTCTTTTACATTTAGCTTCAGGAATAATATCACAAAATAGACTTTAAGGGTTGAATCCTGTCTTCAGCTGACAACAAATCTAGCATATCTTAAAGACCTAAACAAGTCAGAAGGATACAGGAAAATGTGTTTTAAAGTACCTGAGCATTGGTTTAATAACGAGCTTTCTCCTTTACCCACTGCCTTGCCTCCTGACACCCAAACACTCATAAAACTCAATGCCATTTTTGGCGTCTACAGACTGGCGTGTAACTTCTGTTGATACTATTTCTTTCTACACATAAAAGTGTTTTGTGAACTACGAATCACGATATCATACAGAGTGGCACATGCTTTCTCGGTCCGAGCTATATGGCAGCCATGATGGGCTGACACTAACCTACTCTCGGGATCCAAAAGAGTCCAGCTGCTGATGAAACAACTTCCTACCAAGGCTGACAGGACTCGCTGTTTTTCTGTCTCACTATTTATACCAACTCCTTTGTAAAAAAAAATATGTAATAAAAATGTGCTGAATGATGTCCTCATCATGTTATTTTTCTCCTAATTCTGCTCTTTTTCTTCTGTTCTCTGGCTTAGCAAAGTCACAAAGCACACATTTTCCATACTACAGATTTGGAACCCATTATTAACATCTTAAAGGTTGAACAACAGACAGGCTTTCAAAAAGTAAAGGAAAAAAGCATGCCCATGTAATTAGGATAAACTTGGTAACAACAGCCTTATAATACTTACACACCACAGAAAGGTGCTTTGAGTTTTAACTTCTGGTATGTTTATACAGGACAGACAGCTTCTCCAGTTATAGCAGAACAGATATATTAATACTTTGCATAGCAGTATTTGACTTGAAAATGTTCTTATAAAGCATCTGTTGGGTACCAGTATTATACTAGGCATTATGAAAGACAGAAATACCCTGAAAGAGTTTTATAATCCTATTAGGAAAGCAAGACTCATATGAGTCAATTAGAGATCAACACAAACATAACACTAGATGGTACAGACTCAGTGTTTCAGCATTTGGGGAAGGACAGCTTTATGCTTATAGGCTGAACAGATAGATGCAAGAAAGAATTTTATAATCTATAGGTACCATAATATTAATCTGATGGTGAAGCAAATAAAATAAAATGGAACTAAATTCTCTTACTATAAATTAGGATTGTTTTAGTTGAAATCTTCCTTACATATTGAAAATTAAGAATAAAATAGAACAATGTTTAGGACATAATGTTTAAGGTGAGCTCTTTTTCATACTTAAAATTAAGCCCTTGTTTGAAACTTTGAAATGGGCTTCTGAAAGCCAAATTCGTAAGTGAGACTGCATCCCATAAGGCAGAATTTACTCTTTTGCCTAAGACAGATGTCTCACACTTGATACAAGAAAAAGGAATAAAGGCAGGGTGCGGTGGCTCACACCTGTAATCCCTAGCACTTTGGGAGGCTGAGGCAGGATTTCCTGAGGTCTGAAGTTCAAGACCACCCTGAGCAACAGCAACACCCCCATCTCTATAAAACATCAGAAAAATTAGCCGGGTGTGGTGGCACACGCCTGTAGTCCCC